CGCTCCCATTAACATTGACAGGGCTGTAGTGGAGCGGGGTCGAGATCTTCAAGTTCCTTGTTATCTACATCACTAAGACTATCATGGTCCACACATGCCAAAAGTCGTGAAGAGGGCACAACAATGCCTCTTCCCCCCCAGGAGGCTGAAAATATTTGGCATGGGCCCTCGTATCCTCAAAAAGTTCTACAGCTGCACCATTGAGAGCATCTTGACTGGCTGCAACACCAATTGGTATGGCAACTGCTTGGCATCCGACCACAAGACGCTACAGAGGGTACTGCGTACGGCCCAGTACGTCACTGGGGCCGAGCTGCCTGACATCCAGGATCTCTATACCAGGCGGTGTCAGAGGAAGGCCCTAAAAATGGTCAAAGACTCCAGCCACCCAAGTCATAGACTGTTCTCTCTGCTACCGCACAGCAAGCGGTAATGATGCACGAAGTCTGGAACCAACAGGACCCTGAACAGCTTCTACCCCCTAGCCATAAGACTGCTAAACAGTTAAATAGCTACCCAGACTATCTGCATTGACCCTTTGTGCACTAACTTTGACTCATAACATACAGTACCAGTCAAAAGTTTGGACACACCTACTCATTCAAGGTTTTTTCTTTATTATTACTATTTTCTACATTGTAGAATAATAGTGAAGACATCAAAACTATGAAATAACACATATGGAATCATGTAGTAACCAGAAAAGTGTTAAACAAATCAAAATATATTATATATTTTCGATTCTTCAAAGTAGCCACCCTTTGCCTTGATGACAGCTTTACACACTCTTGGCATTTTCTCAACCAGCTTCATAAGGAATGCTTTTCCAAACAGTCTTGAAGGAGTTCCCACGTATGCTGAGCACTTGTTGGCTGCTTTTCCTGCACTCTGCGGTCCAACTCACCCCAAACCATCTCAACTGGGTTGAGGTCGAGGGATTGTGGAGGCCAGGTCATCTGATGCAGCCCTTCATCACTCTCTTTCTTGGTCAAATAGCCCTTACACAGCCTGGAGGTGTGTTTTGGGTCATTGTCCTGTTGTAAAACAAATGATAGTCCCACTAAGCGCAAACCAGATGGATGGCGTATCGCTGCAGAATGCTGTGGTAGCCATGCTGGTTAAGTGTGCCTTGAATTCTAAATAACTCACTGACAATGTCACCAGCAAAGCACGCACACACCATAACACCTCCTCCTCCATGCTTCACGGTGGGAACTACACATGCGGAGATCATCCGTTCACCTACTCTGCGTCTCACAAAGACACAGCAGTTGGAACCAAAAATCTCAAATTTGGACCACTAGAGATCCTGGTTCGAATCCAGGCTCTGTCGTAGCCGGCCGCGACCGGGAGACCCATGGGGCGGCGCGCAATTGGCCCAGCGTCGTCCAGGGTAAGGGAGGGAATGGCCGGCAGGGATGTAGCTCAGTTGATAGAGCATGGCGTTTGCAACACCAGGGTTGTGGGTTCGTTTCCCACAGGGGGTAGGAAAAAAAATAATGTATGCATTCACTAACTGTAAGTCGCTCTGGATAAGAGCGTCTGCTAAATGACTAAAATGTAAATGTAAATGTAATTCGACCATGAAGGCCTGATTCACGCAGTCTCCTCTGAACAGTTGATGTTGAGATGTATCTGTTACTTGAACTCTGTGAAGCATTTATTTGGGCTGCAATTTCTGAGGCTGGTAACTCTAATGAACTTGTCCTCTGCAGCAGAGGTAACTCTGGGTCTTCCTTTCCTGTGGCGGTCCTAATAAGAGCCAGTTTCATCATAGCGCTTGATGGTTTTTGTGACTGCACTTGAAGAAACTTTCAAAGTTCTTGAAATTTTCCAGATTGACTGACCTTCATGTCTTAAAGTAATGATAGACTGTCGTTTCTCTTTGTTTATTTGAGCTGTTCTTGCCATAATACGGACTTGGTCTTTTACCAAATAGGGCTATCTTCTGTATACCACCCCTACATTGTCACAACACAACTGATTGGCTCAAACGTATTAAGAAGGAAATATATTCCACAAATTAACTTTTAACAAGGCACACCTGTTAATTGAAATGCATTCCAGGTGACTACTTCATGAAGCTGGTTGAGAGAATGCCAAGCGTGTGCAAAGCTGTCATCAAGTCAAAGTGTGGCTACTTTGAAGAATCTCAAATATAAAATGTATTTTGATTTGTTTAACATTTTTTTGGTTACTACATGATTCCATATGTGTTATTTAATAGTTTTGCTGTCTTCACTATTATTCTACAATGTAGGAAATAGTAAAAATAAAGAAAAACCCTGAAATGAGTACATGTGTCCAAACTTTTAACTGGTACTGTAAGCTGCTGCTATTGTTTATCATCTGTCACTTTATTCCTAGCTACATGTACATATCTACCTCAATTACCTCGTACCCCTGCACATCGACTTGGTACTGGTACCCCATGTGTATAGCCAGGTTATCGTTACTCATTGTGTATTTATTATTACGCGTTTTACTTTTCTATTATTTCTCTATTTTATTTGTCTGCATTGTTGAAAAAGGACCCTAAGTAAGCCTGTTGTTTAGGAAGCATGTGATAAATAAAATATGATCTGATTTTAAATCTCAGACTTCCGACTTCATTGTGTTCAAGACAACTGCGAACTCGGTAAAAAAAAAACGAGCTGAGACTGAAAAATCTGTCATACAACTTGGAATTCCAAGTTGGAAACGCAGGCATGTTTCTAGAGCTCGGACTTTCTGACGTTAAGTTAAGTGACGTCATGATTTTACCTCGTTTTTTCAGCACCGAGGTCAGAAGTCACACTTCAAAAGCTTAACACACACACAATGAAATATTACCACATTTGAAAAACATCTTGAAAATTCGAACATATTGCTGTCTTTACACCATAATGTCACAATCAAAATGTCAAAACTACAGTAAATAAAATATTTATCTACTCGTTCTACTAGTAACAACATGCCATGGAATGTTCACTGGATCCCGAAAACGGGAAGTCAGCAACAACATTAGTTCCAAAGACCTACAGGTTGATCCAGTCGCGATAGACGCCAATGCCAATCGAGAGATAGACCTTCTTGGAATAGGGCGGCGGCGCGCGCCAAACCCTTTTGAAGGCATTACACAATGTATTGCTTTCAGTTCATGCTTGCTTGAGTTTGCTTATTTTAGACTAAAATATATAAGCATTTTGACAGTCCAGGAACAGAGGTGTGTTTAATAGTAACGTTACTAGCCTACATACCTGAGGCGTGCACGTCGGCGCTGTTTATTGGCAGTGGCAAAAAACGTCTTCTCCTTCTTCTTCAGTGGGGTTTATCGGCAAAAAACGTCTCTCTCCAGTTGTCTAAATATTGGTGCTTTGAAGTTTGAAGACAACTGGGAACTCGGGTAAAAACGAGGTCATGACGTCAGTGATTTTCAGGTCATAAAGACGGAGCTCTGGAAAGATGCCCGATGCCAAGTTCACATTCTAGTCGGAACTAGGAAATTAGGAAATGTACGACTTGCGGAACGCGGCGTATAACTTCAACCAATTAGCATGTCGGACATTACCGAGTTTCCTTGTTCCGAACTGTACGTGAACGCCCCCGACTTGGAATTCCGAGTTAGTTGACAGTTCAAAACTATTTTCCCAAGTCGGAGATCGTTTTTTTTCATGAGACCCAGTCTTGAACACAGTCGGAGATTTCCGAGTTCCCAGTTGATTTTTGGTTAATTAACATAGGATACTGAAGGCGTTCGCGGTCAGCGGTTTGGCGTCTCAAATAGTGGTGGTACAGTCAATTCCAAGTGTGGTTCACTTTTCCTATGCATGTTACAAGGTGAAAACATATTCACAGCTTAACATCGGTTGCTGCCATGAAAAACAATACAATTTGCGCGCATGTAGGAGAGTCAGGAGATAACATATCGAACACACATATTCATCCATTTCACATATGAGTCAGTGCAATGAATGCAAAATGATTTGCTTCTCACAAAGTAAAACTATAATAATCTATATTTCTCTCACTGCCTGCTCCACTTTAGCTTATTCTCGGAGTCAGTCGTGAAAGTAATGCAATTTTCCCACGTACAGGAAGAGGGAGACATTGTAATAAAGATCTACTAATTTCAGCATTTTACGTCAGGGTTGAAAGGTGAATAATTTGACAGCGCAGCGTTTGTAAATATTATTGAAGCTACGCAACGGTAGGTTACTTATGTGTCATATCATGTAGCATTTATTGAGGATACAATTATAAATGTTCTATTGAATAACATGACTTGTCTCTCCACGCACAGCTACCTTACCATATCGGCTGGCTTGCTAGTACAGACGCTAACCAATACGCCTAGTCGGCATCTGTGTTTACTGTTAGGTAACTAGCTAAATAGGGTGTGATGCGGAACTTGAGGTTGATGAAGAGCCATCGTTGCTCGGAGCTGCAGGGCCCGGGCACGCCGCAATGTTTCTCTGTTCGGACAGACACAGGTACTGTGCTCATCGCTTCAGAATACTCCGTTACCGAGTTGGACCCAAGAGCTGGCCAGGTACTTTACACATAGCAGTGTTCTTCAATCATGGTCCTGGAGACCCACCGGCTACAGGTTTTTGTTCCAGCCCATCACTAACACACTGGGGCTGGAGCACCGACCGCAGCCACGGGGAGGACGGGCAGGACAACGCTAACGTGGCAGTGATCGATGGAGGTGAGTCAGACAGAGGCCTTCTTCCAATATCTTTGAAATGCATCCTAACCATCGGCATTCATGGAGGTGATCACTGATTTATAAGTGAGTGGATAGGTTAAAATATGGTTGCCCGTCCCACTGCTTTCACTAATCTTACTGTATCAGATCAGTGATTTCCTCATAGAAAATAAGGAAGGGCCAATGAATTGGAGCAGGGGAGAGACTGTTGAAATGAAGTATTTCAAAGTATAGTATTTGGGTGACTGTTTCTGTTTGTAGACAAGGTCCTAGTGTCGACGTTTCGTCAGTGTTGCGGTGACCCCTGCCCATGTGTGCCTATGAGCTCCAGCTGCCCACCCCCGTTAACCTGGTGACCTTCCACCGCCAGCCCCAGAGGACCAATGAGCTGGCAGCACTCACCGCCGATGGACACTTCCTAGTCTACGGTCAAGGTGGGCCACCTAAAGCTTTGAGCATCTGCCCTCTCCTCTCTAACTGATCAGCCATCACTCTTCTCTCTCACTTCACCCCTACTCTCTTGATGCATACACTGAGTATACCAAACATTAGGAACACCTTCCTAATATTGAGTTGCACCCCACCCCCCTTTTGCCCTCAGAACAGCCTAAATTCATCAGGGCATGGACTCTACAAGGTGTCAAAAGCATTCTACAGGGATGCTGGACCATGTTGACTAACATTTTTCCCACAGTTGTGTCAAGTTGGCTGGATGTCCTTTGGGTGGTGGACCATTCTTGATACACACGGGAAACTGTTGAGTGTGAAAAACCCAGCAGCATTGCAATTTTTGACACAAACGGTACGCCTGGCACCTACTACCATACCCAGTTCAAAGGCACTTAAATATTTTGTCTTGCCCATTCACCCTCTGAATGCACACATACACAATCCATGTCTCAAGGCATAAAAATCCTTCTTTAACCTGTCTTCTCCCCTTCATCTACACTGATTGAAGTGGATTTAACAAGTGACATCAATAAGTGATCATAGCTTTCACCTGGTCAGTCTGTTATGGAAAGAGCAAGTGTTCTTAATGTTTTTTGTACACTCAGTGTATATGTCTACGATCTCTTTCCTCTTCCTCTCCATCTCTTTTCCCACTCACACTGTGGTGTTGATTAATTGTTAAGACAGGTACTGGGTACATAAATCCTGGCTGCTTTTGTGTCTAATTCTGTAGTATGTTCAGGTACTGGGGACCAGAGTGAGCCTGCAGCCAGACTGGGAGGATTCCGGTCGATCACACATGCCCCTCAGTTAAAGACAACCTACAGGTACAATCAGGACAGTCATTCCAAAGCATTTTAGTTTATGACCCTCACGCTAAAGTTGTATTGCGCCCTAACATTGTGGCTGTGTTGCGTGCAGGGTTTTGGTGGATCAGGAGGAGCCCCTGGCTCTGTGTCTCCTGCTGTGGCTAGGATGTGTTCCTGGGGGTGGGGGCCTGTGCAGAGGGGCCGTCCCAGTCCACACTGCTCATCCTGAGACCCTCGGAGGCCCAGAGCCCCCAGCCAACCTTGGAGATCAAGTAAGAATTAACAATAAATTACAACAACGCTGCTTTTTACGTGCTGTCAGAACGTTCCCCTAATTGTTTGTATCCCCAGGTCATGTGTGGAGGTGGAAGGTCACGTTATCAGCATGTGTCACAAGCTCCAAGACGGGCACGGTGGCCCTGCAGCTGGAGGACGGCCAGATCAGGAAGTTCCTCTGGGGTCAGTGACAACTACTTCCTGGGTTATGAGAATATTGCTTGTAGACTTGCTTGTGGAATTGAGCCAGCTATCATGAGATGTCTTCTATGTCTCCAGCCTGAGCAGCCTTGTGTATGTCCCCAGACTCCCTGAAGCCTAGTGTGGTGGAGTGGCAGGACTCGACAGGCTGCAGCATTAACTTCCCAGATCCCTGTGTGCAGACGGCCCTCTGTACTATAGAAGAGGTAAGGGTACAGTCCAACTGAATACTGCTGTCACCGAAAATGACTTAGTATCATTTGGTGATTTGATAATATTGATTATTGTGCCAAAAGTACCTATCTCCTGGTCTCAAATCTAGGGGATTTTTTGTAATGTCAACAGGATTATAGGAGCATCTGCTTGGGCTTACGGACCGATCTCACCTGTTTGTTGGCGACACAGAGGTATGTCTGTTGTTCTCTCTTGGTGATTCAGCACAAAGGCAGAGTTACTATTATGATTGATGCAAACACACTTCTTACTTAGATTAATTTAGCTGCTTGCCTCGTGCATTTAATGCAAAGCCAGGTCATATTCATTCAAAACATTTAACTTTATTGACCAACCTGTTTGTGTCACTGCCTCCCTCTGTTCTTCATCCACAGGTGGCCTCCAACGTCTCCTCCTTCGTGGTCTACGATGACTTCCTGCTGCTCACCACACACTCGCACACATGCCGCTGCCTCCGACTCAGCACACTCACCGTCAAAGGGCTGCAGGTGGCCTTGGCTGCAGACAGAGGTCAGAATCAGAATGACCAGAATCGTCACTGTGGTCCCCCAGGACACCAGGCTCATCCTACAGGTCTGAACTGTTCCGCCTGTCATTAAAGAGATTACAATCCCAGATTACCCATATTGTTTAGCTCTACATCCCTGGTCGTGTTGATGGTGAGCATGGTCTGATGTGTGTCTGCAGATGCCTTGCGGTAACCTGGAGACCATCCACCATCGAGCGCTTGTATTGACTCAGCTCAGAAAGTGTCTGGACAGCCAGAAGGCCTTTGAGTGCATGAGGAAGCTGCGGATCAACCTCAACCTGATTTACGACCACAACCCCAAGGTTGGTAAGCGCCCCCAGCCAGGTCACTTCTCCTTCACCTAACCTGTCTGTGACCTTCTGGTGTGGAATGGCACTTACAACAAGACGAATGAAGTACAAATAATTTACTTCAGTAGCTAGTTTTCCATCCAATTGGTGACAGATTTTCATGCGAATATTCAAAAATCTGCATAAAGAAAATGTCCACCAAACAGACTTGTTGCGAATACAAATCTGTGTGTGACAACGTAGTGCACATAAATTGTACTTTTTCGCTTTAGTTTTCATGTACCGAATAAAAATCTTAAATTCTATGTGTTGCCGTCGCATTTTCAACTCTACCGATTGTTTTGTCACTTACTGTTGTTAAATATCAAATGTGCCTACTCTGGTCTTGGCATGTGCGCTCTAGCCAACAGCTGGCAGATACAATGTGGGTAGGCTAGTCTACATGATGAGATTATTATGGATATTTTGATTTGTCAAATGGCAGTCAAGCATCGATCATCATGTCACCAGAATAAGACCCTCAATATTTATTATATATATATTATTATATTATATATTTATTGGAAATGAGCATCAAGCTCATCATCTTGCACTTTCACCACCCGGTGAAGTTCATCATAATTTATTTAATCTGTAGCCTAATAAATTGCATGCTTTCCGGAGTCGTAGTGGGAGGACCACACACCATATCATCATGTGACTCCAAGTTTACTTCGATATGATGGTTATTATATCAATATTTGCGTATAAAGGCGTTTCCGCCGCCATTTCCCGCATAATTAATTTTACATTTAAATTTTTTACATTTTCGTCATTTAGCAGACGCTCTTATCCAGAGCGACTTACACATTGGTGCATTCACCTTATAGCCAGTGGGACAACCACTTTACAATTGTTATTATTTTAAAATTTTTTGGGGGGGGGGTAGAAGGATTACTTTATCCTATCCCAGGTATTCCTTAAAGAGGTGGGGTTTCAAGTGTCTCCGGAAGGTGGTGAGTGACTCCGCTGTCCTGGCGTCGTGAGGGAGCTTGTTTCACCATTGGGGTGCCAGAGCAGCGAACAGTTTTGACTGGGCTGAGCGGGAACTGTGCTTCCGCAGAGGTAGGGGAGCCAGCAGGCCAGAGGTGGATGAATGCAATGCCCTCGTTTGGGTGTAGGGACTGATCAGAGCCTGAAGGTACGGAGGTGCCGTTCCCCTCACAGCTCCGTAGGCAAGCACCATGGTTTTGTAGCAGATGCGAGCTTCAACTGGAAGCCAGTGGAGTGTGCGGAGGAGCGGGATGACGTGAGAGAACTCACCAGACGGGCTGCGGCGTTCTGGATGAGTTGTAGGGGTTTAATGGCACAGGCAGGGATCCCAGCCAACAGCGAGTTGCAGTAATCCAGACGGGAGATGACAAGTGCCTGGATTAGGACCTGTGCCACTTCCTGTGTAAGGCAGGGTCGTACTCTGCAAATGTTGTAGAGCATGAATTTACAGGATCGGGTCACCGCCTTGATGTTAGCGGAGAACGACAGGGTGTTGTCCAGGGTCACGTCAAGGCTCTTTGCACTCTGGGAGGAGGACACAACGGAGTTGTCAACCGTGATGGCGAGATGGAACGGGCAGTCCTTCCCCGGGAGGAAGAGCAGCTCCGTCTTGCCGAGGTTCAGCTTGAGGTGGTGATCCGTCATCCACACTGATATGTCTGCCAGACATGCAGAGATGCGATTCGCCACCTGGTTATCAGAAGGGGGAAAGGAGAAGATTAATTGTGTGTCGTCTGCGTAGCAATGATAGGAGAGGCCATGTGAGGATATGACAGAGCCAAGTGACTTGGTGTATTGCGAGAATAGGAGAGGGCCTAGAACTGAGCCCTGGGGGACACCAGTGGTGAGAGCACGTGGTGCGGAGACAGATTCTCGCCACGCCACCTGGTAGGAGCGACCTGTCAGGTAGGACGCAATCCAAGAGTGAGCCGCGCCGGAGATGCCCAACTCGGAGAGGGTGGAGAGGAGGATCTGATGGTTCACAGTATCAAAGGCAGCAGATAGGTCTAGAAGGACGAGAGCAGAGGAGAGAGAGTTAGCTTTAGCAGTGCGGAGAGCCTCCGTGACACAGAGAAGAGCAGTCTCTGCAGACACCAAAAGTGTGACCAGTCTTGACAGACACCAAAAGATCCCACTGTGTCGAACAAACAAATGATCTGTCGGCATTTATACAATTGTAATGAAACTTCCTGTATCCATCACAGCTGTCAGGATTTGTTGTTGTTGTACGGTATGACTTTACTCTCATAAAAACTGTGGATGGAAACGTGGTTACTGACTGTTGTTCCTTTCTGGTAGGTGTTTTTAGAGAGCGTGGAGACCTTCCTTAGACAGCTAGACTCTATCAACCACATCAACCTGTTCCTCACAGAGCTCAAGTAAGAGCCTATTTTATTTTACAACAATTACAAAAAATGCCCATTTGTAATGTATTTTAGGAAATTGTAATTAGTCAGTCAACCGTATTTTTATTTTATTTTACAGAGAGGAAGATACCACTACGACAATGTACCCATACCCATTGAACACTACAGGCCAGTCAGCCCCTGGGGCTTGTGGGAAGAAGGTTGACATTGTTTGTGATGCGCTACACTGCACCATGGAATCTATGGACCAACACAAGTGAGTGCGCTCTTGATACAGGTTAACTTTTTTGTCAATGAAAACTAATACAATTTGATTTGTATTGCTCTATTTACAGAACATTTGAACTAGTATTGTACTCAAATCATGTTTCTTTTACACTTCATTGTGAGTGTAATATTGTTATTATCACCCACAGGTACTGCCTGTCTATTTTGAAGTCACATGTGAAGAAGACTGTTCCTGAGCTGGAGGTTGCCCTGCAGAAAGTCCACGAGCTTCAAGGTAATACAGACACAAGCAGATCAGCAAGAGCAATAAGAAATTGTTAAAATCTGAAAATCCATGTATCTATTGTTTGTGTGTATTTGTAGTGAACCCACCCAGTGCAGCCAACGCGGTGAGTGCGGAGGAGGCTCTGAAGTACCTGTTGTTCCTGGTCAATGTCAACGAGCTGTATGAACACACTCTGGGCACCTACGACGTTGACTTGGTCCTCATGGTGGCTGAGAAGTCCCAATAGGTCAGTGACAGAAGAATAGTACTGCAGGTAAACCGTACCTAATAGTTACTATGATGAAGCCATTGCTGCAGAAACTTTGATGAACGTTCACTGCAAATGGAGAAAAGGCCGCTACTTAAATGTATTTTCATGTGTATTAAAGAAGATGAATTGTCTGTTTCCCTCCCAAACATTCAAGGACCCCAAAGAGTACCTTCCCTTGCTGAACATGCTGAAGACTCTGGAGCCCAACTACCAGCGCTACACCATCGACAAACACCTGAAGAGAAACAGGAAGGCCCTGCACCACCTCAGCAAGTGTGGTGAGTGTCCTGCAATAGGCATTTCATTAAACCGACAATTACTTAATTGAAAGGAATGACCTAGACTGGATGTGGTGTTTTGTACCAGGTGAGGAGCACTTCAACGAGGCCCTAAATCTGGTGAAGGACCAGAGGCTGTATAGTGAAGCCTTGGGGCGCTATCCAACAGACAGCCCTCAGTACAAGGTAATGCGTTCTCACACATTACTAAATAAGTAGCCACACCGTGTGCTACTGTTATGTCTCTGACCTCTAACCTCCAACACTGACCTCTGTCTAGGCCCTGAGCTGTGCCTACGCTGAGTACATGGTGGAGCAGCAGCAGGCGGAGCAGGCAGGGTTGTTGCTGTGGCGCTGCGGCGAGGCAGTCCGTGCCCTCCAGGCCTTCGTGGGCAGTGCCAGCTGGAGGAACGCTCTCTGTGTGGCAGAGCAGATCCCCCTTCCACCCGACCAGCTGGCACTGCTGGCTAGGGACCTGACGGGTACAGTTGAAGTCGGAGGTTTACATACACCTTTGCCAAATACATTTAAACTCAGTTTTTCACAATTCCTGACATTTAATCCTAGTAGAAATTCCCTGTCTTAGGTCAGTTAGGATCACCACTTTATTTTAAGAATGTGAAATGTCAGAATAATAGTAGAGTGATTTATTTCAGCTTTTATTTATTTCATCACATTCCCAGTGGGTCAGAAGTTTACATACACTCAATTAGTATTTGGTAGCATTGCCTTTAAATTGTTTAACTTGGGTCAAACGTTTCGGGTAGCCTTCCACAAGCTTCCTACAATAAATTGGGTGTATTTTGGCCCATTCCTCCTGACAGAGCTGGTGTAACTGAGTCAGGTTTGTAGGCCTCCTTGCTCGCACACGCTTTTTCAGTTCTGGCCACACATTTTCTATAGGATTGAGGTCAGGGCTTTGTGATGGCCACTCCAATACCTTGACTGTTGTCCTTAAGCCATTTTGCCACAACTTTGGAAGTATGCTTGGGGTCATTGTCCATTTGGAAGACCCATTTGCGACCAAGCTTTAACTTCCTGACTGATGTCTTGAGATGTTGCTTCAATATATCCACATAATTTTCCTTCCTCATGATGCCATCTATTTTGTGAAGTGCACCAGTCCCTCCTGCAGCAAAGCACCCCCACAGCATGGTCCTGCAACCCCCGTGCTTCACGGTTGGGATGGTGTTCTTCGGCTTGCAAGCCTTCCCCTTTTTCCTCCAAACATAACGATGGTCATTATGGCCAAACAGTTCTATTTTTGTTTCATCAGACCAGAGGACATTTCTCCAAAAAGTATGATCTTTGTCCCCATGTGCAGTTGCAAACCGTAGTCTGGATTTTTTATGGCGGTTTTGGAGCAGTGGCTTCTTCCTTGCTGAGTGGCCTTTCAGGTTATGTCGATATAGGACTCGTTTTACTCTGGATATAGATACTTTTGTACCTGTTTCCTACATCATCTTCACAAGGTCCTTTGCTGTTGGTATGGGATTAATTTGCACTTTTAGCACCAAAGTACGTTCATCTCTAGGAGACAGAACGTGTCTCTTTCCTGAGCGGTATGACGGCTGCGTGGTCCCATGGTGTTTATAGATGCGTACTACTGTTTGTACAGATGAACATGGTACCTTCAGGCGTTTGAAAATTGCTCCCAAGGATGAACCAGGCTTGTGGAGGTCTACAATTTTCTTTCTGAGGTCTTGGCTGATTTATTTTGATTTTCCCATGATGTCAAGTAAAGAGGCACTGAGTTTGAAGGTAGGCCTTGAAATACATCCACAGGTACACCTCCAATTGACTCAAATGATGTCAATTAGCCTATCAGAAGCTTCTAAAGCCATGACATCATTTTCTGGAATTTTTCAAGCTGTTTAAAGGCACAGTCAACTTAGTGTATGTAAACTTCTGACCCACTGGAATTGTGATACTGTTCGCTGCTCTGGCACCCCAATGGTGGAACAAGCTCCCTCACGACGCCAGGACAGCGGAGTCACTCACCACCTTCCGGAGACATTTGAAACCCCACCTCTTTAAGGAATACCTGGGATAGGCTAAAGTATTCCTTCTAACCCCCCCCCCCCCCCCCCCAAATTGTAAAGTGGTTATCCCACTGGCTATAGGGTGAACGCACCAATTTGTGAGTCGCTCTGGCTAAGAGCGTCTGCTAAATGACGTTAATGTGCCCTTGAGCAAGGCACTTAACCCTAATTGCTCCTGTAAGTCGCTCTGGTTAAGAGCGTCTGCTAAATGACTAAAATGTAAAATGTAAATGTGATACAGTGAATTATAACTGAAAAAATCTGTCTATAAACAATTGTTGGAAAAATTACTTGTCATGCACAAAGTAGATGTCCTAACCGACTTGCCAAAACTCTAGTTTGTTAACAAGACATTTGTGGTGTGGTTGAAAAATGAGTTTTAATGACTCCAACCTAAGTGTATGTAAACTTGCGACTTCAACTGTACTATCCTACCCGCGTCCTGGCACTCAGCGCCACCACATTAAGTCTTAAAGTTGCGTGTTCGATTCGAAATTTGTTGCTCATTTAGTTTAATATTTCCCCCTATCGTTTCAGAGAAGCTGATCGCGCTCAGAAGATATACGGAGGCGGCCATATTGTTGGAGCAGTATGCCAAGGACTGTGAGGAGGCCATCTCGGCTCTGGTCACAGGTGCAGTCTGGGAAGAAGCACTTCGACTGGTGAGTTAACAAGATGGCCTCCATTGTGCAACACGCTCTACAAAGTCCTCCCAAGACAAAATGACATTGTCTTTTTTCTGTTCTAGGTGTATTTGTACAACAGACAAGACATCATTGAAACAAACCTCAAACCAGCTCTCTTGGAAGGTAAAACCCCAATTTTTCATTGGTGAATTTAAATGCTCTTGATAGTGCTAATGATGTTTCAGTGTGCAATATATTTGTTTTATGTAATCTTTATGGCACCAAATGTATATACATTGGTTTGATGAACACTGTTTTCTTTAGCATGTAGTTCTCAGACGACCTACCTGGAAGCTCAGATGGCGATGTTGATTCGTCACAAAACCCGTCTGGCCGTGGTATGGGAGGTTAAGGAAAAGGACAGGCTGGAGTTACTGGGTAAACCAGCATTACTTACAGAAGAATACCGTTTTTGTAATAGCTTAAGGGGCTTTGAGAACTGGCTTGTCCATGTTATACTGACCTGCCTCCCTCTCTCTGTTTCTCCCTTTCTCTCCCTTGTTCTGACTCTCCCTCTCTCATTCCAGATGAGGATGTCCCAGACTGTCCGGAGGCAGAGCTCTATTCAGAGGGCCAGTAGTGTGATGACCGGCAGCCATGCCGTCTCCAAGTACTCACATAGTAACTCCTCGTGAGTCAGCCCTTTACACATCTGTATGAATTACATGAAATACCTAGTGGATGTGGGTTTGGGACTTGGTAGTAAGATTTCAGTAGTCTCAGTATGAGATAGGAACTAACCTCTGTCTCTTAGGAGGTCATCTAAGAACAGCCGGAAGGCTGAGCGCAAGAAGCCGAGTCTGAAGGAAGGAATCCCCCTAGAGGACATGGACCTACTGCACGCCCTGGCAGATATCATCCACTCTGTGGACAAGATAAGAGGTGGGAGACGCACATTCTTACCGATCCTTTCTTTCTCTCTATCTCTTATCCCTTTGGCCTATTCTCACTCATACTGATGTGAATAGAATTACAGTTATCTGGTGAGAATAGTTTTTAATCGTCTCATTCATGTTTGGTATAGTGGTTCTTCTAAGGTAGAGTCATGTGGGCAGGTCCTGTGTGATTGACAGTTTTATGCTCTGCCCCTGCAGGGGAGGTGCACAGCCTACTGAAGGCCATGATGCTGTTCCAATTTGACGGACAGGCGGGGAGGCTGCAACAGGCCTATGGGGAGGCTCTCCAGATGATGGATGCGGCCCTTCCTGAGGTGTGGCAGGAGGGTCTTCAGCAGAGTCAGGCTCCGGTGAGACACAAACACACACACACACACACACACACACTCAGACTTGTTCTTAGGAGTTAATTTAACCTGTGTTTTTAATTTTGTTCTCCAGATCTCAGGTCCTAACTCCACAGCCAACAGCATCATGGCTTCATTTCAACAGCCAAGACCCTCAGCAACCCAAGGTAGGTTTTAGTAGTATTAGCCTATTTATTACTATTGAAAATACACCATTTACTCATTTGTTTAGTAATATTAGGTGCTAAAATCAAATGTTCTTATTACCTTTTTAGTTTATTAATATAGTATACACGCTTCCTCTGATTCAGAGACTCCCCCACCCCCAAAGATGAGAAATGGTGTTAAGTGGAAGCTGAGTATTTTGAAGTAGCTTTTTGTCATCACTGTTTTCTTGTTTGTTCTTTTAACTGGAAAGCTATCAAATCACATAACCTATTAATAAAGATGTATACTGGATTTTCTTGTAACTTTTGTATGACTAAAGCATGATCAACAGAGCTGTCAAATGTTCTCACAATATAATGTTGGTAATGGATATGTAGTTATTAAAACTGTCAGAGATATGGAAAAGGCAGACAGTCAGTCCATAGTTCAATTTAGTTAATTTACTGTTTTATTTGCCAACCATAAAGGCACATAAGTAGCTTTCAGAAACATTTTCGATAAATGGCAAACGGCCCTTTCTCCTCATAGTCTTTCCTCCGAATCCAAAGTGATTGGAAAGAGGACAGGGAGGCAAGGATGGAACCTCCAAGCCACACTGTGTTTTGACGCTCCTGGGATGCCACAATGGTAGTCCCACCGTGTGGTGCTATCTGGTTGAGCTCGCTCTGCAGCCGTTCAGGAAGACCACTGAACATTGTGGAGCCACCACATATTAGGATGTTCTGTAGCATGTCACTCTTCAGTCTGATGTCACATTTATTGATACAGTTCATGACCATAATAGGAAGTCCTGGCTCACGGGATCCAATCAGATTTGGCTGGAATAGCACCTCTGGACAAAGAAAACGCTCATTTCCCAATGAGATAGAATTCCCATCTGGAAGCTTGTATTGCACCATGTCACTTTCTCTTAGTTCTATGTCTATATCAGGGGCTACATAGCAACATTTTGACTTGATGTCATCCATTAGGCCTAATTTGTCAAAAGAAAATATTTTTCCAGACTCCTGCAGTAACTTCTGTAAGTAAAGGTCAAGGCTTCGTCCTGCGTATTCTGCACGGCAGGTGTAACTTGGCATGTAGTGGCCGTCGTCAATTGGGACTGCGTAAGAGCATCCATGCCCGCATTCCAAAACCAGTCCACTGGTTCTACCATAGGAATACATGGATAAAACGGACTGGTTTTCAATAAACATTGCTGGAGTGCTGAAGCTCTCGAACATGATTTCGGCGAGTTTTTCTCTGTTGGTGGTCGGACTAAGAGGAGGGTCACATAAAAGCACTGCGTGCTCCTCGCTTGGGATACCCAGCGTTTTGAACGCGTATTCCCACAGTCTCTCCATGGCATCCCATTCTGTTACTATGCCATTATGCACGGGGCTGACGTGGGATATGTCTCGCTTTTCTAGGATTTCCCTCCCCACATAGCCGTGTTTATAATCCAAGGGGTCTTGTCGCACAAAACCCACAACACTGGGAATTACGCAAGAGGGCGCATCAGCCCCAGCAAACCCGGCTTTCAGGTATCCTGTCCCGACATCGATGACTACAGCCTTGGTGCACTTCACGATACCCGTTGCCTTTGGACTCGACGACTCTTCATCAAGCTCCGTTGAAGGTTTAGATGATTTGGATGACTTCTTCGGTTTAGGGTTACCTGGAGAGGTGTTTTTTGATTTGGAAGACTTTTTCTTTTTCGGACTTTTCCCTTCTTCATTCACCCTGATCAACTTTGCGACTTTTGCAGGACCATCACGTGGAAGAATGGGATCGATGAAAGTGTCCTTATCCATCTTTTTACTTCATGGTGTAGGCCTAACTGTAACATGCAAAAACCGAAAGCTCTGTGTCCCGACCACTGACAGTTTTGAAGCGCCAGGGTGACGCGCATTCAATCAGTGTGTTACCTTTGTGACGTTATTGATCGCAGTAATAATCAATAACGTAATTTGGAATGCATATGTACCGAACAGTCGAGACTAATTCAACGACAAGAGTAGCTGCAGCTCGCTGGTCTGGGTACCAGTCTTTTTAGCTGATATTCCACTCCTTGTCACTCCTGTCATTTGCCAGAGACTTTCGCAATCTAAACGTTCAATATGCAACCGGATTTACGGCGCAGTTGCTGTTTGGTAGTTGGAAACAACATTAATATTTTCAATGACAATGTTATGGAACAACATGGCCCTAGTAAAAAAAAATCCTATAGGATTAGCGATTTTTTTCCAATAGAATTTTGTGTCACCTGTATCAGAATCCTATTGGAATTCTATTGGACAACTTTTTTGATTGGGAATCAAAAGTAATCCTATTGGACCCTATAGGATTCTCGCAATCCTATAGGATTTTGTATCACCTTAATCAGAATCCTATTGGACTACTTTTTTTCCTATTGGAAATCAAAAGTAATCAGTTTGGATCCTATAGGTTTTGTAGGATTTTGTCACCCCAATCAGATTCAAATTTTCTTAATTGAACCAATTAAATTAGTTAGCCATTACTTCCAGTACAGTACAACAACATTAATTACAACATTTTCATTTACCGGAAACAACAGTTCTATATTAATTTATGTTTTATTCACACGTAAGAAAGCCTGTCCCTTTAAGAGTGACGATGACTTCACATCAAGCACAGCCTGGTGAAAAGTCCACAATGAAACTGACATTAAATGTGGATAATGTTGGGTTTTATTTTTCTCATAATTGGATCTGTATGTGATGAATAGCTTGGAAGGAATGCATTAATGAGGAGCACTGTACTGATATGGATTGTTTCACATAACAGGCTGTTATTCATGTGGGGAACGTTAGGGGTATGACAGATAAGACTTGTATTTCTTACAGATACTCTTTGTAGTCTGTGAAACTGTCCTTGAACATGGAGTACAGTGGAATGGTGTCTTTTGGGTGCTGACTCCGCAGGTTATTATCATAGCAACTTATGCCTGGCAACAAATGAAATGCCGAGGAGTTGGGACCAACCCCTGCGCCAACGGATTGGCTGAATGGAGTCTGGACCACACTCAGTCCTTTGCTCTGGTTGGCCAACAGAAGAGGTGGAGGCTTTCTGTCAGAGTATTTGAGAAAGAATCTGTAAACAATAATTCTAGTTCTCTGTCTGCCCTGCGTGGTTTTTCAGTGAGCCCGTATACGAACCTTCATACTTATCATACATACATTTTGCATATAATAAATTTAGCTTGGATTGAATATCTCTTGATTATGTTTTCTCTTATTCCAATACCAGATTTGAATTACGCAATTTCTAACAATAATGGTACGTCTGTTGGCCATCAAGTATTAATTTATATGCCATTGTAGGCTAACTGTAGCCTACCATTTCATACAATAAATATGTTGAAATGACAATATCACTGGAGTCATTGCAAATCAATACCGCCACTTGTGTAGCCTACCTGGAGCTGGCAAACTGATTTAATAAATAGCATATAACTTCAGTTTATTGTTGTTGTAGTCTTGTGTTAATATGGTATTATTGAGGGCAATGTTTAGTTAATTAAATTGGAAGTTATCAATTGTGATCATGGTCACAGCTCTATCGCAATTGACGATCAGCTAAAATGCATTAGATTGACAGTAACAGTCAGTCAGATTAGGCTACAGGTTAAAAAAAAAAACACTGGCTGTTGTTGACAAGCATATTCAGTTCATATCCATATTATTAATCTGTGATTGAAATGACGACCCCATCCTCAGTAGCCTATTCCAGCAGGCTATTGGGTAAAGCAAGCACTTCTTACTACATTTACATTTACGTCATTTAGCAGACGCTCTTATCCAGAGCGACTTACAGTTAGTGAATATATATATATATATATATATATTATTATTTTTATTTATTTTTATATACTGGCCCCCCGTGGGAATCGAACCCACAACCCTGGCGTTGCAAACGCCATGCTCTTTCAACTGAGCTACATCCCTGCCGGCCATTCCCTCCCCTACCCTGGACGACGCTGGGCCAATTGTGCGCCGCCCATGAGTCTCCCGGTCGTGGCCGGCTGCGACAGAGCCTGGATTCGAACCAAGATCTCTAGTGGCACAGTTAGCACTGCGATGCAGTGCCTTAGACCACTACAGTGCATTTCAAAAGTATTCAACCCCCTTTGCGTTTTTCCTATTATGTTGCATTACAACCTGTAATTTAAATTGATTTTTATTTGGATTTCATATAATGGACATACACAATAGTCCAAATTGGTGAAGTGAAAAAATAAAAAATATTGTTTCAAAATATTCTAAAAAATAATTCACGGAAATGTGGTGAATGCATATGTATTCACCCCCTTTGCTATGAAGCCCCTAAATAAGATCTGGTGCAACCAATTACCTTCAGAAGTCACATAATTAGTTAGATTGCACACAGGTGGACTTTATTTAAGTGTCACATGATCTGTCACATATACACCTGTTCTGAAAGGCCCCAGAGTCTGCAACACCACTAAGCAAGTGGCACCATGAAGACCAAGGAGCTCTCCAAACAGGTCAGGGACAAAGTTGTGGAGAAGTACAGATCAGGGTTGGGTTATAAAAAAAGATCTGAAACTTTGAACATCCCACGGAGCACCATTAAATCCATTATTAAAAAATGGAAAGAATATGGCACCACAACAAACCTGCCAAGAGAGGGCAGCGCACCAAAACTCACGGACCAGGCAAGGAGGGCATTAATCAGAGCGGCAACAAAGAGACCAAAGATAACCCTGAAGGAGCTGCAAAGCTCCACAGCAGAGATTGGAGTATCGGTCCATAGGACCACTTTAAGCCATACACTCCACAGAGCTGGGCTTTACAGAAGAGTGGCCAGAAAAAAGCCATTGCTTAAAGAAAAAAATAACCAAACACGTTTGGTGTTTGCCAAAAGGCATGTGGGAGACTCCCCAAACATATGGAAGAAAGTACTCTGGTCAGATGAGACTAAAATTGAGCTTTTTGGCCATCCCAACACCTCTCATCACCCCGAGAACACCAGCATTGTGGTGGCAACATCATGCTGTGGGGATGTTTTTCATCGGCAGGGACTGGGAAACTGGTCAGAATTGAAGGAATGATGGATGGCGCTAAATACAGGGAAATTCTTGAGGGAAACCTGATTGTCTTCCAGCAGGACAATGACCCTAAGCATACTGCTAAAGCAACACTCGAGTGGTTTAAGGGGAAACATTTCAATGTCTTGGAATGGCCTAGTCAGTTGGTAGAGCATGGCGCTTGCAACGTCAGGGTTGTGGGTTCGTTTCCCACGGGGGGCCAGTATGAAAATGTATGCACTCACTAACTGTAAGTCGCTCTGGATAAGAGCGTCTGCTAAATGACTAAAATGTAAATGTATGACTTAAAGATTGCTGTACACCAGCAGAACCTATCCAACTTGAAGGAGCTGGAGCAGTTTTGCCTTGAAGAATGGGCAAAAATCCCAGTGGCTAGATGTGCCAATTCCATAGAGACATACCCCAAGAGACTTGCAGCTGTAATTGTTGCTAGTAAATTGACTAGTAAAATTTATTTTCAAAAGAATAGAATGGCACACATATACATTGCATTCGGAAGGTATTCAAACCCCTTGTCTTTTTCCACATTTTGTTACGTTACAGCCTTAATCTAAAATGGATTAAAAATAAAACTAAGCGACTGCAAGTGAAGAGCAAAATAATCCACTTGTTAAACTACATAACATGCTGGCAAAATGTTCTGTTCAGTGCTGATAAATGAGCCGACTAGACAAGATGATCATGAGGAGCACTCACCTCAGCTAACATTTCTACAGCCTAATTGTAGCTTAACCAATATCCAAACGGAGAGTCAGTGAAAATAACAATCTGACATTGATTTATCAAGACTCCACACTTGTCTCAAAGCAGCATGAAATGGTTGCTCACACGTGGGTAGACTATTGCTTCAATCATATGTATGATAACAATTGGATGACTTTGGGAGTTTCAGTAAGCAACCATTTGGCTTCAATTGCATTAGCCTACTTTATTCCAGTGCATGTGGTGGGCTATGTGAAGAGATGGGTGAAGTGACATGCCTTTCAAAATGTAGAAATGCCAGGATGATAGTAGCAACAGGCGCTGCCTAGCAACCATCAAGAGTTTAAGAGCAGTATGTGCCAAATGCGGCCTCAGCATTACGGCTACGATTCATACTAAGCCTATACTTTTATTTCTGCCAACTGACCTAGTCATGATTGTCGTACAGTTCTGCATAAGGCAGACTAGGTCGGTTGGAATGACTTATGCCCTGTATGATATCTGAGTGAGAATGACTAACAAAATTAATGGGGCCCCTGGGCACATACCAGGTCTGTATTTGGACCATGATTACTACAAATAATATGCCATTTAGCATATGCTTTTATCCTAAGCGAATTAGTCATGTGAGCATACACTTTTACATATGGGTGGTCCCGGGGATCAAACCCACTACCCTGGCGTTACAAGCGCCATGCTCTACCAATTGAGCTACAGACCGCTTAAGTCTAGAACCGGCCCATTGAATGCAATCATGTGGTAAACATCCCAGCTCAGGAAATGAATCATGGTATCTTTAGAAGTTCCATTGTTAATCATGAAAAGGTTGATTGCATGTAAATTAAGAGCTGTGAGACTGATAGTTGCAAAACTGCCACATGTATTGGACTACTGACTCCAAAGTACCGATTTGGTAATTTTGTGTAGGGTTAAATACACTACGTACAGAACAAAACAATGAAGTACCCAAAGTAAGGTCATAGATGCCTCTGCTCATCAGGAAACGGGAAATGTAGTTATAAAGAAACACTAATACCTGATCAAATATCTTTAATGGGACAGACAAGAAATAGTACATGTAAAATGTAAATCCAGTCAACCACTGACACTTAATCCATACATAATAGCAATAATCCATGCATTTCACATCTAGGAACACAGCAACACATGAAAAGGAATATCATCAGATCGGGGATACAAAAATCAACATGAGTCATTCACCAGAGACAAATGAAAGCCCTTTCTATTTCTTGCTGTGCAGTAACACAAAGTAATTGCTGACCTGACTGACAAATGAGGCAAAGTACCCATTCTTGGAAAAAAATGAAATAAAAAAAATATATTTACATAAAGAAACGTTTCTATTAAAAAAAGGTACGTCTAATGCCCACACCTGCACTCCCAATACCCCAGTGTTTCCCCTAGCTAGACTTTCTCTTAGGCGTGGCGCAGGAGCCCCAAAACAGCAACACAGACTGACAATTTGAATCAATTGGGGCCAAAATATTTTAGCCTGAACAAAAGAGCTAGATGGGAGTCACTACCTGTCCCGCCTAAAGTGATGATAGAGGAAACACTGCAGCATCCCATGGGAAGAGCAGCTGGCATGCCGATGGAAGGGGGCTTGTGGGGTTAAGGAGGTCTATGCTCAGGGTTTCCAGAGCTTGAGTAGGCCATCCTCACTGTACGTGGAGATGAGGTTCTGGTGGGGGTGATGGGCGATGCCAATCACATCCTTCTCATGGACCTGGGATGGGGGAGACAAGAGCTTATGAGACAAAAGTCTAATACAACCTTTAGGCCAGGGGCAGGCAACTAGATTCAGCCGTAGGGGGGCCGGAACATAATTATAATTTGTACACTGCAAATTGACCCTGCCCCCAAAACAAATCTCTCTGGGATGCCTGTTGCCAACCCGCGCTTTAGGCTATAGCCAATCCTAGCACTTTTACATTGAACTAACAGAAATGTTGATTTACGTGCATTATCCCTGACCCTGTCTGACTAAATTGTCTACACACAAATTAATTCAAGTGAATTGACAACTCCTATTTTAATAAACATACTGTCAGGGTTCTCTCCAGCTTGCCGGTGACTGTGCTAAAGCAGTAGAGCACAAAGTCCTCTCCTACACAGTAGATCCACTCGCCACGGGGAGACAGCGTACAGCAGACAAAGTCTCCTCCCTCCCTCTTACCAGAGCTGAAACTCCTCACAATCTGGAGGACAGAGGGAATAAGGTCAAACAAATATTTTTAAAATATTCAAAACGAATACTCATTTATTTCAATTAAAAAAGACCATAAGTGGTCAAGTTGAGTCCTGACCTGGCCCTGCATGTTCATGATGACAACGGTGTTGGAGCGGTTGCACACCACAAAGTGCTCTGGGTTCTTGGGCAGCAGGATGACGTTGTTGACTGTGATGTCGGTGCCGGCCGAGGTGCCCAGGGACTTGAAGGTGTTGGTGCATTCTGTGGTCTTCATGTTCCACACCTGACAGGATATTCACACACAAGTGTTAATCAAAATTCATTAACGTATATTCTCCTGGAAATGCAGGTACACCGGGCATCCCATGAATTGGACAATCTGGTAGGGGTGGAGACAAGTCAAAATACAGTATCTGATGCAAATACCTTTTTTTTACTTATTATGGGACAGTTGGCTTCTAGCAGCCTTTTGCAGAGTGGGGGTTCATACCTTCACAGTGCCGTCAGAGGAAGCGCTGATGATATGGTGGCCATCAGGTGTGAATGTTGCTTCATTAACAAAAGAGGAGTGTCCGCGGAACTCTTTCAGCGACTTGCCCGACTTCAATCCGTGAACCCTGTGGAACGCATAAACATAACAGTTATGGTTCCTTTGTGACCACTGTTCTATATGCAGAAAAAACAAAGAGAGAAAACATGAGAGAAAGAGATTCATGTGTGCAGGTCACCTGATGGTCTGGTCAAAGGAGGCACTGAGCAGCTGGCTGCTGTCCTTGCAGAAACTGAGGCAGGTGACACCTTTACTGTGGGCACGCTCAAAGCGCCGCAAGCACTGACCACTCTGGATCTTCCACACCTGTCAGAGGAAAGACGAGGTAGGGAAGGTAGTGTGAGTATCCACTCAACCCAATGGAAGAGTTTGAACATTAAAAGTTGAGGGAAAAGTGACATCCCTATAGTGTCAGTACAGACCTTTATTTTGCCATCCTGGGCCCCTGTGGCCAGCATCTCTGTGTCCCTACTGAAGCACATACAAAGCACTGCATCGTCCATCATCATGAAGTTATCCTGCGCCTGGTACTTCAGATCCTATCACACACACACACACACTTAATTAGGTCATTTTATTAAAACGCTTGCAAGGCAGTAAAAGGGTATTTTGAAAACACCATAAATTGAAATCCAGTCTATTTCCAAAATTGCCACAAATCACAGTATCATTTTGTGTTAGATCGCACACGCACCTTTCTGATTTTGCCAGTGGTGAAGTTCCAGACCTCGATGAAACCATCCACTGATCCTGTGACCAAGTACTGACCATCAGGGGAGAAGCGGGAACACTCCACGTGGGACTTCTGCCCAAACTAGTAAGAATAACACTGCATTATGACGACACCCAAGCAGCACTCCTCGTTCTTGTTTTCATGCATTGTGTTTTATGCATCATTTGATTAAATGTTACATAACCAAGCCAGTACCATTGATACACAGGAATCTCTGTTGTAAGAAAGCCATGGCCAAGGGACAGCATCAAAACCATCCTTACTAATAAACACTGGCAATACCATAGCTGGACATACAGTACCTTGATATGTCTAGTGAGCTGTGTTGGGAAGCGCTCCTCCTCCACGTCCTTCACGGCTGCCTTGCCCCTGAACAGGTCAATGGTCATACCTGGGGGCAGGAGACCCTGGTGCTGCTGCCATTTTAGGGACTGAGAGAGAGATGGTGGTTAAAATACTAATCTGCTGCTGCAACATAATATTAGCCTGGTCGTAGATCAGACTTTATGTGCTGAATTAACTTGGAAAGACCGTATGGGTGGCCAGGTGTATAGGAACATGTCACCCACCTGTCCCAGCAGGGCCATGAGACGGGAGGGGGGCACCACGCTGACCTCCCCGGCCAGGGCCTGGGCGATGGCCACGCGTCGCTTCTCCTTACTGCTGCCGTCTGGGTAGGCCTGGAGGACACAGGGAGGAGAGCACACAGACACTGAGCAATGACACAAACACAAGACTGCAGGAACTCTGAACCCATAACAAAACACACAAGTCATTCCTGAGTGGCAACGGAACAAATATACACAAATGCCAAAGTCAAAACTCTATAGGACATTTATTTATGCTTTATTTCAGGAGAACACGAGTTAAGGTTATTTTTGGTGTTCAATTAGAGATGTTCAGGCATACAATAGATGCACAGACATAACCAGACAACCTGGAAAATAGTTCATACTGAGTTATATCTCCTCTATACAGGGAGTGATGTTAGGAGACGTCAACTCACCTCTCTGGGGTCAAAGTAGGAACGAGCCAGCAGGTTCTCCAGGTGAATGTACCTCTCTGGTTGCGTCTGCTTCAGCATGATCATGGGGTCTGTTTGCCTTAGCAAAGACCTGGCTGCTCCCAACTCTCTCAACTCAATGAGCTCCAACACCACCTAGGGGGGCACACAAACGCATTAGAACTCTCCATTTTACAGAACATAGACATAACAGAGCTAGCTAGAAAATAAAGTTCTGGTGCATACGAATTCCAAATACAACATACCATCCCGATTCACGGCAACTTCTTACCTGTTCATACAAGTCTATCAAAGTCTTGTCAGGGAGCTTGAGGGACTGGATAGCTTGCAGCACAGTATCCCAATGGCCACTGTTGATGTCTGCCACAAAACTCTCGATACTGTCCACAGTGTTCAAAGACACGGTGGTCTCTTCCTGCAGGGTGGTCAATGTCCGGTGCAGATTGTTCTCTTTCAGGTACTGCATTATCAGACGAATCACGCTGCAAAATCATGGTAGACTCGCATCAAAACATGACGTGCCTTGATGAAGACAAGTTCGGTCTTCTTGTTCGCTTGCAAGCCAGTTAGCTAGCTAACGTTAGCCTGTCAGAACGCCTAAATTAGCGAACGTTAATATTAGCTAGCTAAGACTATATGGCTGCAATACTATCAATACATAGCTAAATTAAAAAGACCAATGGTAGGTACAAAAACATCAACGCTTGCCAATGAAACATAGCTAGCTAGCAGGCAAGTTATGTTAGCTTAGGTAACTAGCTAACTGGATACAAGCTGCTTGCAGGTTGAGGTAGGCCTCAACTGAGTTTAGAGCTGCCACGTGAACAATAATAAATAAACACATCATACAGGCATTTACAGTTGTGCAAATATGTATAGCTAGAGTACTTACTCTGCTGATTCCACCTCCAAAGACATGACTAAATCACCAAAAAGTAGATCGTTGTGAGTAGAGAAGTCAGCACAAATGCAAACAAGGAACGAACAGTCGTTGAAGTGGGCGGAGTTTCCATAAGTAGTGGACTAGAAATATATTTTCAAAATAAAAGTAGATTAACGACAATAACGTCTGCAGTCGACTGCATGCATCAACCAATGCGTGTATGCTACGTCATCGTCTATGACTGACAGATTGCCATGTAATATGATGTGGTTAGCTGATACGTTAAATACCTATCCAGGTGTTGTAAGATCTGGCAGGCGTCAGCAACGCCTGGGCAGAGGACGTGTCCAATGGTTGCATGCCACAAGTGACAGATTGCTATAACATATGATGTGGTTAGCCTAACGTTGCTGACGCCTACCAAATATTACAATGCCTGGACAGGTATTTTACATATCAGCTAACCACATCATATTTTATAACAACCTGTCAGTCGATGACACAGTCAGTAACATCGCAAGCAACCATTGGTTGATGCATGCAACTTCTGAGCAGCAGACACGACCGTTGATTGACACACACAACATCTGAGCAGGGGACATGACCTGTATTTAGGCCCAGGCAGGTCCCTTATGGAGGTTCATTCAGGGCTGTGTTCAGTACGAAAAAAACGTAGTGGAACCTTCAATTAAATGGGGGAGGGGAGCTTGGGTTGTGGGTTCAAAATGCATCTCTGCCCTTTGATGATGCATTCATAACTAAGTGGCAAGGTGGTAATTACCAGTTGTGAAGTCATAAATACCAGTTGGATGCATTCACGTGCTTTGAACTCGTTGAGAAACGCCGATTGGCTAATGGCTAACAAGCTGTATCAACCATAAACTAAAAGTACAGCTATTGTGCTTGTAAACAAAAAACATATTAATAGATTGCTTTTTGTAAATAGTGTTTTGTTGTTGCATTTAACTGCCGACAATCCTGTTATAGAGGTCATTTCCTTAGTGGGTGACATCAGAGGTCAGCATGTGGGAGAAGTCGGAGTTCAGGTATGATATAAGAGTTTCCAAATAGTAATTACCAGTTGGAATATGTTCAAATTGATTTTTCCCAATTGTATGTGGTAAATACCACCTTCCAACTTGGTTATGAACGCAGCATAAATATGTCACTCACCCCGCCACACCCACCAAAAGGATAAAATGTACCCCAAAGTCTGTTCAAGAACATTGAAGAATGCTTTGAGGAAACATGTGGTTCAGTACAAACCGTTATGCAACATAGCAAACGTTCAATCGAATTGGACGCACCCCAGGGAGGCTACTGCATCTACACAGGCAGCCCAATTCTGATATTTTTTCCATTAATTGGTCTTTTGACCAATCACATCAGCTCTTTTCACATCAGATCTTTTTGATCAAAAGACCAATTAGTGAAAAAATAACAGAAGTGGGCTGCCTGTGTAAACACAGCCCACTCACCTGCACTGGTTATGGTCAGAATCCGATTGTAGACAGTTAAATGACTGAATAGTCAGGGCTTACTACGGTATTATTAATTTATTTGTGAGTTTGGCTCGACTGAAGTGTCTTGCTTGGTAAATTAACTCACTCTGGTCAGTCATGTTATTTGCGCTTGTTTTGGGCACCCACTGATTGGCTAATTGATGACGTTGTGTGCTGTGGTGCATTCGTTTTGTTCCCTGGTACATAAACCAGCGCACGGGTTAGCAGTGATTGCAGAGAGGTTGCACAGGGAGAAATATTTGGAGAACGGGAGCGACTGGGAAATATGGCGGAAAAGGAAAAAAAGAAAAAAAGTGGAGCATGTTATGAATAAACATGGAGTGGTGGATTACACAGGCCTTCTGAAAGATCTGGCGAAGGAGAAGGTGATAGACAAGAAGAAAAGGACAGTGTTAATGTTTATGAGGGAATAGGAAATGAGGGATTTCACAGAACTTTTGGAAGAACTTGAGGAAATTTGAGAGTGACGAGAGTGAGGATTAATTAGATGTGGTGGCAGGTGCAGTGATGACTGTTGAGAAGAAGTTGAGTGTAGAGGGAAGCATTGTGGCGAGGAAGGTTTGCGTCAAGTGTAAAAAGATGGATACGTGTTCCAGTAGCTCAGAGATGGAACCTGACGAGAGCGTGGATGAAGTTCCTGCAGTGAGGACCGCCGAGTTCGGGTCTCGGTCCGAGGATGTAAAGGATGATTCTGGCCCAGTGGGATTAAGATTTGTGGAGATAATGGATCCTTGCATTTTGGCTGATCCATATGTGGTGGTAGGTTGGGTGGAAAAGAGGTTGGGGACTGTTGAGTTGGTGAAAGTAACTAGGAGTGGACTAGTGATGATTTATTGTGTTTCTTCAGCCCAGAGGGAGCGGGCGTTCCGGATCACGCGATTAGGGACAAGAAATTTGAAAAGTGTGTAGGAGGGCATGTGACGAGGAATGTTTAGTTTTGGTGGAGAAAGTTGTGTTTTTAGTTGTGGGGGTGCCCATGGGGCTGGAGATCGGAGGTGTCCGGTGAGAGAAAGGCAGGTTGAGGTTGCTAGGGTCAGAGTAGTACAGAAAGTGTCGTATACTGAAGCTGTGAAGAGAGTGGTAGAGGAAAATGGGTACTGGGTGAGGGATCCTGAGAGGATTCCTGTGAGTAGGCAGAGATTAATAGAGAGTGATGGAAAGAATATGTGCTTCTGTAAGGTAGGTTTCTTTGTTGTAAATTGTACTGCAGAAATGGATCAAAAGTCAAAGAAAATAGAGGTTGTGGTGGCAGCAGCAGATAAATACTTGGGAGTGCGAGGTTTTACTGCAGAACAGTTGCAGAGGGTGTTGAGTGGTAGTGTTCTGTCCTTCCAGACTGTTTGTCTGGAGTAGGATTAGATAGGGTAAATAGTGGAATGGGGTGCTGTTTTTTATATGTTTTTTCAGGGCTAATAGATGTCAGGGTAGTTTTTTGTTTTCCTTTTCCCCAATTTTATAGTATCGTATCACAAATAATTTAATCTAGGTAGGTCATGAATGGCCTCACACTCCAGTACAGTAGGTGGTGGTGTATGCACCTTAAATTGGATGCGATCCGCCAACCCAATCTCAAAGAAGAAGAATGCCTCCTGGGCATGAACAAACTCAGTCGCATAGAAATATATAGAGAAATACACTACATTACCAAAAGTATGTGGACACCTGCTCCTCTGACATCTCATTCCAAAATCATGGCCATTAATATGGAGTTGGTCCCCCCTTTTCTGCAATAACACTCTTCTCGGAAGGCTTTCCACTAGATGTTGGAAAGTAGCTGCTGGGACTTGCTTCCATTCAGCCACAAGAGCATTAGTGAGGTCGGACACTGATGTTGGGCGATTAGGCCTGGCTCGCAATCGGCATTCCAATTAATCTCAAAGGTGTTAGATGGGGTTGAGGTCAGGGCTTTGTGCAGGCCAGTGAAGTTCTTCCACGCCGATCTCGACAAACCATTTCTGTATGGACATTGCTTTGTGCACAGGGGCATTGTCATGCTGAAACAGGAAAGGGCCTTCTCCAAACTGTTGCCACAAAGTTGTAAGCACAGAATCGTCTAGAATGTCATTGTATGCTGTAGCGTTAAGATTTCCCTTCACTGGAACTAAGGGGCCTAGCCCAAACCATGAAAAAAAGCCCCAGACCATTATTCCTCTTCCACCAAACTTTACAGTTGGCACTATGCATTGGGTCAGGTAGCGTTCTCCTGGCATCCACCAAACTCTGATTCGTCCGTCGGACTGCCAGATGGTGAAGCGTGATTAATCACTCCAGAGAACGCATTTCCACTGCTCCAGAGTCGAATGGCGGCTAGCTTTACACCACTCCAGACGACCCTTGGCATTGCGCATGGTGATCTTAGGCTTGTGTGCGGCTGCTCGTCCATGGAAACCCATTTCATGAAGCTCCCAACAAACAGTTCTTGTGCTGATGTTGCTTCCAGAGGCAGTTTGGAACTCGGTAGTGAGCATTGCAACCGAGGCCAGATGATTTTAACCCGCTGCGCGCTTCAGCACTCGGCGGTCCCGTTGTTGTGTGGCCTACCACTTTGCGTTGAGCCATTGCTGTTCCTAGACGTTTCCACTTCACAATAACAGCACTTACGGTTGACTGGGGCAGCTCTAGCAGGGCAGAAATGTAACGAACTGACTTGTTGGAAAGGTGGCATCCTATGACGGTGCCACATTGAAAGTCACTGAGCTCTTAAGTAAGACCATTCTACTGCCAATGTTTGTCTATGGAGATTGCATGGCTGTGTGCTCGAAATCCACTAATTTGAAGGGGTGTCCACATACTTCTGTGTGTATATATAGTGGATTTGGGGATGTATAGACAATATGTACAGTACATGGATAGAATATGTAATATATCTGAAGAATAGTATACGTACAGCAATAGTTAAATAGGATAGGCCTTGACTAGAATACAGTATATACGTGGGTAAACGGTATGTAAACATTATTAAAGTGACCAGTGTTCTATGACTATTTATATAGGCCAGCAGCCTCTAAGGTGAATGGTAGAGTAACCAGGTGGTAGCCGGCTAGTGACAGTGACTAAAGTTCAGGGCAGGGTACTGGGCAGAGGCCGGCTAGTGGTGACTATTTAACAGTCTGATGGCCTTGAGATGGAAGCTGTTTTTCATTCTCTCGGTCACAACTTTGATGCACTTGTACTGACCTCGCCTTCTGGATGGTATCAGGGTGAACAGGCCGTTGCTCGGGTGGCTGAGGTCCTTGATGATCTTCTTGGCCTTCCTGTGATACCAGGTACTGTAGATGTCCTGGAGGGCAGGCAGTGTGCCCCCGGTGATGCGTTGGGCAGACCGCACCACCCTCTGGAGATCCCTACGGTTGCGGATGGTGCAGTTGCCGTACCAGGCGGTGATACAGCCCGTCAGGATGATTTCAATGGTGCATCTGTAAAAGTGTGTGAGGGTCTTAGGGGCCAAGCCGAATTTCTTCAGCCTCCTGATGTTGAAGAGGCGCTGTTGCACCTACTACACCACACTGTCTGTGTGGGTGGACCATATCAGATTGTCAGTGGTGCGTACGCAGAGGAACTTGAAGATTTTCACCTTCTCCACTGCGGCCCGTCGATGAG